CCAGACTCCAGGACTGGCCCAGGTTCCTCCCCAACCCTCCTCACTGTCTGAATCGGCTGCCAGCTCTGCTGGCGGGCCACAACCAAGGTATCGGACGACAGTTTCAGAGGCACCGAAAATTTTAAGGGAAGCGAGTTGTCTAATCCAAAGTGAGAGACAAGTGTAGGATTAGGGCAAGCTCGTGGGCGTGTGTCATAACTCTTTAGCAAGAGGGAACATTACAGGGGTTGGATCAAAGGTTCTTGGTAACCCTGCTGTTTTGGCTTATTTATGTTACACCTTTATTACTCAACTAAAGTATGTAATTAAGTAATTCAACGTGGCAAACATACATGATACTCCTTCCTCCTTGTCTTCCCCCCTCTTTCGCCCACTACTATCCTGTGAAGCGGGTTGTTGCAGGCAAACGACAACTGAAAGAGGGACTGGCCCAAAGTCACCTAGCCAACTTTTATGGCTAAGGTGGAACTAGAACTCCCAGTCTCCTGGGGATTGGCCCAAAGTCATCCAGCCGGCTTTCATGGCTAAAGAACTCATTGTCCACAGGTTTTCACCATAGACCAGGCCTTTTTCCTCGCTTTCATGCTGGCTGGGGCATTCCGAAAACATCAGAGCATCTTCTCATGCTTAAGAGAAACAATCTTGAGTTCTAGAACTTTCCCTTGGTGTGAATTTTGCGGTTCCTTTTCAATGAAAGCCCCGTTTTCCACCACCCCCTGCAGGACAATACCCATTTTCAGAATCTGCTGGCCAGGATGAGCTCGGGATCTCCTGGAAGCAGGAATACCTGGTTGCCGAGAACCCGGACGATGGCCGGCTGGTGTGCATGGTGTGCGGGGGCATCTTGGCCACCTCCGGCCCCGCGGCGGCCCGTCAGCACATCCTGCAGCAGCACGCCCACTCGCTGGACTTCACCCTGGAGGAGAAACGCAACATCCTGGAGGGCTGGAGCGAAGGAGGCGTGCTGCCCGCCGTCGATTCGCCCCCGGCAGGTAAAACATCTCCCTGCTCTCTCTGTGTTGTCGTTGCGCGACCCTCGCGGATTAGAACGGCCAAACCAGGCGCCTGGCGCTGCGCCCCGCAGCTTCTGATTCCCTTTCTGGCCCTTCCCACCCCAGGCGGTCCCGGCGAGAACAAGCAGCCTGCCGAGATCGAAGTCCTCCTTGATACGGAGGAGCAGCCCGTGAGCCGGAAGCGCGGGCCCGCCCAAGCACGCCGCGGTGAGTGCTAGGTCACGGACGTGCCTAGAGCAGGGGTGTCAAACTCGATCTCATGGAGGGCTGCATCAGGGTCGTGCTTGGCCTCGGGGTGGGGTGGGGGGGACGTGGCCAGCTTGACGTCTCAAGGGCGCCTGTGGTGGCCTGCTGGCGAAAATGGAGCTCGGGTGAGCCACGCATTCCCCCGCACCTCCGGGCCCTGTTTTCAGCCACGGCGGCCTCCTGCATTCCTCTGCCAATGAAAACAGAGCTCCGTTTCCGCTGCCGGAAGCACCGCACACCGGTCGTTCGCTGCTTCCAGGGCGGCCCCGCGGGCCAGATCCACACCCCCCCCCCGGGCCTTGAGTTTGACACCCTTGGCCTAGTGCATCCTTTTCAGACCCCCGGGCCTCACTGGACCCCAGTAGTCCTTGACTTACGACCACAGTTGGGACTAAGATTTCCGCTGCTTAAACAACGGGGGTTCTTTAGTCGGGCAAACGGAAGTCGTGCCCAGTTGTTGTTTTTGGCCGGAGTCATTAAGCAAAATCACTGCATTCGTTAATGCAGTCATTAAGCGAATCTAGTCTGTCTGTCTCCCATCGAATTTGCTGGTCGAAAGCTGGCTGGGGAGGTAGCCATCGGCAAGTCCTTGATGCCGGGAGGGTTGTGGGAGTGTGAGTTCCCTTTTTTTCCCCAACGCCATTGTATCTTCCAACGAACGGTCGTAAGTCCAGGACTGCCGGAGTTCTTGGGTCCCGTCTCCCAAGTCTGCCACCTTGGAAGTGAGTGTTCTCAAAGCAGCTGCACCCAGTCTTGTCATGAGCAATCACGCTGTGCCGGGAATGTGTGATGATTGTGTGTGTGAGAGACATTAGGGAAGTCAAGATTCCTCGCTGATCTCAAAAGGCAGATAAGGTATCCCTCTTTCCGAGTCTGTCAAAGACCTGCCTAAGGCTCCTCGGAGATATATCCCAGCATCCTTTGCTGCAGGCTAAGTTCGGGGGGGACCCCCCGCCCCGAGAGCTTCTGGGAGCTGTAGTTTACCCGCTGGAAAAACCCAAGTCCCCCCCCCCTGTTTTTCTTTACTTTATTGTCATTGTACGTACACAGTTTACACGTACAATGGAATTCGCATAACACCCAGAGACCAGGCCCAATACCCATAACAATCCCTTAACACAAACACACACACACACCCCCAAAAAAACACAACAGATCAAGTAGTGCTGTCCGATAGCTCACCGATGGTGGCCCTTTCGTTCATCGTTGAGTGCAATGACAGCTCTGGGATAAAAGCTATTCGGAAGACGCGTGGTCCTAGTTTTAATTGTCCTGCCAGAAGACAACAGTCTTAAGATGATTGTAAGCAGGATGGGAAGAGTCTCTGAGAACGTTATGCCACTTCCTCAAACAGCGAGATGTGAAGATGTCATCCAGCGTGACCCGTTAAATGCGTGCAACATCAAAAGCGCGCCGACAAAACCGCGGCGAGAAAACAGCGAGGTCGAAAGCGCTCCCACAAAAGGGCGCCGACAAAAGCGCGCCCACAAAAGCGCGATGAGGGTTAAGGTAAGGGTTAGGGTTATTACCTTGTTTTCGCGTTGTTTGTTGATGGCGCGCTTTCGTCGGCGCGCTTCTGTGTGCGCGATTTCGACCTCGCTGTTTTCTTGCCGCGGTTTTGTCGGCGCGCTTTTGACGTTCGCGCATTTGTCGGTGAACCGTCATCCAGGGCTGGTAGCTGGAGCCCGGTGATATTCTGGGCAGTTTTAATGATTCTCCGGAGAGCTTTCTTGTCCGCTGCAGAGTTGCTCCCGTACCATGCAAGAATGCCGTATGTCAGGACACTCTCAATAATGCTGCGATCGTAGGACAGAAGCAGATGCTGAGATAGATTTCTCTTCCTTCACATTCTCAGGAAGTGCAGCCTCTTCGGTGTCTTCTTCACAAGTATGTTAGCATTCATGTTCCATAAGAGGGTCCTCCGAGATATAAATGCCCAGAAATTTAAAACTACCAACCCTCTTCCATCGCCTCGCCATTCTTCCCTAGGCGGGTTGCTGCAGGACATCAGCCCTGGCTGAATGCAGATAATCCTCGACTTACAACCCACAGTTGAGCCCTTTTGCTAAGTTTCTCCCCATGTTTACGACCTTTCTCAGCACAGTTGTTGAGTGAATCGCCGCTAAGTTAGTAACACAGTTAGTAGAAGATGTATGAACGAAGCCCCCAACCTACTAGGCAAATCCTGCCCTTTTCCCCAAGGGCCTCCATCCTGCTTCCTTTTGGCAACTTACACGTAGTCCTTGACTTACGACCACAGTTGAGCCCAAAGTTTCTGTTGCTCAGCGAGACAGTTGTTAAGTTGAACTTTGCCCCGTTACAAGAACTTTCTTGCCACCGTTGTTTAAGTGAATCCAGCTTCCCCATTGACTTCGCTTGTCAGAAGGTCGCAAAAGGGGATCACGGGAGACACACACACACACCAGGAACCATTATAAATACGAGTCCATTGCCAAGCGTGTGAATTTTGATCCCGCGACTGCGGGGATGCCGCAACGGTCATAAGTGTGGTGAAACGGTCACAAATCGCTTTTGCCAGTGGCGTTGTAACTTCAAATGGTTGCTAAATGAACCGTTGTAAGTCGAGGGCTGCCTGTTGTCATATTTACCTAAGGTAACAAAGCGGCACCAAACAAGTCACGGAAAAAACTGAAACGCCTTGATTTGAAGTGTATTTTATGTCTGTGCTAATGCAGCTGCTTCCTAACCGTGTCTCTTGAGTCGTTTTCGTTTTGTCGTGAAAAAACAACAACAGGTTCTGTCCTCACAAAGCTACACAACACCATTCGAAACCCCGCAATTGAACATGAATTGTGCTTTTCTCGTCTTTTCTCCCTTCGCAGCAGAGGGGTTGAACTTGGAAGCTGAGCGGCGACTTTCGGTTCGACAGAGGCCGCCCGCCAAGGATTCGAGGGGCCAGGAGCCCATGAAGGCTGCAGGTAACACGGGGTTGGCTCGGAACCACTTGTTGAGTGTAGCTTTCTGATTCTCCTTTCCTCTCTGTCCCCTCTCCTTTTGTGTGCTGGAGACTCTGTTTTCATGCCAAAACAAAGAATTTGTTCAACGAATTCAGGATGCCTGAGCAGAAATCTTGGAAACCAGGCAGTGGAAGAGAGTAGAGTTGGGGAGAAAGACCTAGATTGAACAGCCAAGAAGGAGAAACGGATAAAGATTCAAGAGAGGAATCTCATCAAAAAAAGTAAAAAAAAAAAGCATAGCAATTAAAATATTAAAGCGGGCAAGAAACAATGGATAGATGATTTCTCTTTGTAAGTATTGAAGCGGGCAAGAGACGATGGATAGATAATCTCCCTTTTTGGTTGTTCTGTTTTGCTTTTGCTTTCTTTTAAAGCACAGCAATTAAAGTATTGAAGCAGGCAAGAGACAGATAGATGATTTCTCTTTTTTTGTTCTGATTTGCTTTTCCCTTTCTCTTTCGCTTTCTCTTTTCTTTTAAGTAGGTGACATGATTAGAAGTTAGCTAGGATAGAAAGGAAAAGTCTTTTAATAAAGGGTGACATGATTAAAGCTAGAAATGAGGGATAGAAATAAGACAAAGGGGAATCTTAGTGTATGTATTTTTTATATAATGAAATGAAAGTAATAAGAGAAAACGTGGAATAATTGAACAATGACAGATTGCAACCTAATATAAATGTGTATCATTGTTAGAAATACGTACGTTGATTTGAATGTAATAATTATGATTAACTTTATTAGTTTTATTTGCATTCGAATGTATGACCCCAAGGTGCCACGCCATTCATGCGTTGATTTGATATATTTGTAAAAAAAATCAAAGACTTGGTGGGGTGGGGAACAAATTCAGGATGTCAAAACTTAAGTTTCTAGCCCTTATGAAAAGGAAAGGGAAGCTTGAAAGCTGGCAAAAGTTTTGGGGGATTAGAGATGGCGATTTTGGACTTGATCAAAAAAGTCCAGTTGCCTCCTGAAAAAGCACCTTTGAGATTCCCGGTCTGTGGGTGTTTCTAGTCCTCAAGATTCTGGAGGAAGCCATGAAAACGTCCTTTGCTGATTTTTATGCGGTTAATCAGGGCTTGAATAAAATTGGATTAGAGCAGCGGGAGAGGACATCAGACTTATTATTTTAACAGATAACAGATTAACAGAGTTGGAAGGGACCTTGGAGGTCATCTAGTCCAACCCCTTCCCACCCAAGCAGGAGACCATACTTAATTCAAAGACCAGTACAATGAGAAATACACAAAGAGTATCTAGTTAAAAGTTCTAGAATAAAATAACTAACAAATAAAATCTCTGCCGATTAGATTTACATCCTGCCATTTTCAGATTAAATGCAGGAAATCCTTGACCTACGACCAAAATTGAGCCCAAAATTTCCGTTTGCTAAGTGAAACATTCATTAAGTAAGTTTTTCCCCATTTTACGACCTTTCTTCCCACCGTTGTTAAACGAATCACGGCAGCTGTGAAATTAGCAGCAGAGTCGTTAAGTGAATCTGCCTTCCCCCTTGACTTGTGAGAAGGTCGCAAAAGGGGATCACATGACCCCAGGACGCTGCAGCCGTCGTAAATATGAGTCAGTTGCCGAGCCTCTGAATTTGGGGGAATGCTGCAGTGGTCGTAAGTGCGAGAAACTTTCGTAAGTGCGAAAAAATGGTCGTAAGTCATTTTTTCCAGCGTCGTAATTTCTAACAGTCTCTAAACGAACCGTCGTAAGTCTGAACTTCCACTCTTAGGACTCCGTCGGCTTTAGATGTGCGAGTATCGGAATAAGCGCGGTGTCATTTTTCACACTGGTTTTTGCTCTCTAGGAAAGGAGTGGCTGTCAGAATGCGGACTTCCCAGTTCGGCTCCGGCTGAAATCCGCATTTTCACCGACGGCTCTTTCCCAGCTGGATTCACCCTAAAGCTGTACTGCCGTTCTCAGCCAGGTAGGTGGAAACTCGAAAGCAATTGGTGCAAACCTTGTTTTTGAAGACTCTGGAAATATTGGCGCCACTCCAGCCTTGGCACAAGATCACAAAAAGTTTTTATCTACAACTGTTGCACCAGACCAAGGTCACACACAACAATATCCGGTATCTCGCCCTGGTATCTCGGCAGTCCAGACATGGAAATCCTCTTCTGTTTTGTTTTCGGAGGTGGGGGTGTTGTTACGTTAAAAAGAGATTGTTTAGTCGGCTGTTCCTGGGATGTTTTTTCCCTTTTTTCCCCCCTCCTGCCATTTCTCTGCCTAACCTCTACTTCTCTGCCTAACGTCGCTTTAATCCATGTGCTGTGGCTGTAACATTATTATTTATCCTTCTTATTATCGTCTTCATTCTCCCTTTTATTGGTGGTATTATTATTATTTACTTGATTCATTAAACATGAAACTCGGTCAGCTGGACATTTAAAAATGTATCACAAATATTATTAACTGGTGCTGATATGGGTTGCTGCCAGCATCCTAGGTATCAACCGAGTACTTTCTTAAGATTATTATTATTATTTCTTTTATTCATTAAACATGCAACTCAGTCAACTGAACATTCAAAAATGCATCACAAATACCATTGACTGGTGCTGATGGTTGATATGGGTTGCTGCCAGTATCCTAGTATCAACCAAGTACCTTCTTAAGATTATGATGATGATTATTATTATATGTGGTTAATCTTTGGTGAGATTCACAGCCTTTGGGGCTGGTTGGTAGCTCAACAGCTCGAGTCCTAACCAAGGACCTATGAACAGTTAAGGTAATGTCGGAGGATATAAGATGTTCCAAGTAGGGTGATTTTTTATAGAGTCAGAATGTTCAAGTCTGATAAATTTAAAATTTCCAAATAACAAGGTAGCCCTTTAGGTATTATTATTGCGTGGTTAATCTTTGGTGAAATTCACAGCCTTTGGGGCTGGTTGGTAGCTCAACAGCTCAAATCCTAACCAAGGACCTAGGAACTGTTGTTGTTGTTGTTGTTGTTGTTGTTGTTGTTATTATTATTTATTTTATTCATTAAACATGCAACTCAAGTCAACTGAACATTCAAAAATGCATCA